GCGGATGGGGGGAGGGGAGAGAGGAGGGGAGGCCAGGGCTAGGCTGGCAGCTCTCTTAAAGAAACAGGACCCTAGCTTGGGGAAGACAAAAGACAGCGTCGAGGCAAAGACCTACGTGCCTATAAATAAAAACGATCGTGTGAAGATCTTCCTAATCACTTTTTTGAAACTTAAACCAATTACTGTGAGAGCACAGATATTTGAAAATAGAGTGCAGTACAAAAATATCCAGATGGGCAGGAAATGTCATGAGGTACTCATATCCCCAGAAGGTGGTGGTTTCTTTAAACAAATCAGACGACTACTTGCAGTCTGGAGTTCAGATGAATGTAATGGGGCTTAAGTTGGTGGTAATGTGTAAAGCTATGTAGAAAGCAGGATGGGTCCTTTGTGATATTTTTTTAAAACAGCTTTTCTTAACCGATTGTTTTTCGAAGTAGGTTTCGCTGCCTTTTTCGGGCCACAGACAAGGTGGTTCCAACAGTGAGATTGGGAGGGAGGAGCAGCTGACAGAGTGCATGGCCTGTGCCAAGTCAGGTTGTTGGCTGCCCCGGTTTCTCCTCTGACTGCAGGGATCTGTCTGTTCATTGTTGATTCTGCCGCCATTATATAGCTTCTGCACCACTCTGTGTAAATGCAGGGAAATCCTCGCCTTTCCAAAGTGAGTTTGAGAGATCTCTCTCCCTCACTTCTCGACTATTATCGGCCACAAATGTTAGTAAATGGTGGGTCAGTCCTCTGATTCATTTACAGAAAAGATCAAAGCAAGAGGCCAGCTTGCTATTCTGTATTTCCATTTTAATAAATCTAGGTCAAGACTCACACTAGTTTAGGAGGTTCACTCACAACCAGAATTAACAGATGTCTGTATTCTGTGCAATTAAATCCATTATGGGTGGGTTTGATATGCCATATATCAGATGAAATAGATTTTCCTACAACTGTCTAAGTATGAGAGTATATATATTGTGGCTTTCATTTATATTGTGGTTGTTTCAGAGTTTATTTTGCTTTAGGGAGAATTGTTTGTTCCACTACATTCCATGCTAAAATTAGATCCAATATTGAAATCTGCCATAAGCCACCATCCAAAGGGTCAGCAAAACTCAGTTATAGAAGTGGCCTTCTCTTTAGGGTAGAAGAAAATCATACAGTGAACCTTCATTGGAAGGGAGTAAGTGGCTACTTAAGGATGATTGCCTCTTGGAGGTGAGATGCATAGTGCAGGGTTTGCTATATCAGTTTGAGTTTGACTAGCCATTCTTGTTTTTTGTAAATGGTTTCCTGTGGTATGTGCTGAGAGAATGAAGGTAGGATTGTGCCAATAAGGCATTGCATTTTCACAATAAATATGGTGTATTTTACTCTTAACATTTGACCATATTTTCATCCATAATCCTTCCATAACCTGAATCATTTTGTTTTAGTAGAACAAGCAAGGAATCTGTGTGCCTGTATTTGATGCACAAACTCCCATGTGAAAATCCCTCTAAAACACAAGTCTTTTAAAATGAGAAAATTGGCTCCCCTGCCTTCCCTGAGTTCCCTCCCCTAATACTGATACCTTTGACCAACTAACTCTCTTAAGTGGGATACAATGGTTCAAAAACTGTTGGTTTTTTTTCCCCCCTTCCCTGCTTTTCTGAAATCTCTTCAGAGCCATTATGCACTCTTTAACGTTGTATAGTGAAAGAGGAAACTCTGTTTCTAGGCTAATTTCGGAAAGTGGCGTGCATGTTTGCATTCAATAATATCTCTCTGTTAGCAACATGTAAAAATCCCTGGAGTTTCCTATCCTCATGTGCATGGATCTTAACTCATGCTTGACACTTTACATAATAATTAAAGATATCTGCATGGATATAGCCTGTATAGCCTTTCATTACCATAAATCCTTGTAAAATTATTCCATGATTATTTTTATTAGATTAGAAGTCAAAACCTTTTTTAATTTACTGAAAGGCAACAAAACTAACAGCAGCCAAATCAAAGCAGTATTGGAGATTGTTTTTTACTAAGGCAAAACCGTTGTAGATCTTACACTACATTGTGCAAGCTGAACATGTGATAAATGAGGAAGTGGTCAATTTAAGCAACACTTTTTAACTTTGTGGTGCTTGTTTTTCATTTTTAAATAAATATTAAACAGTAAGTTTTGAGATATTTTAACAAATGTTAATGTTCAAATTACCATCTCCTCTTCCTCTTCTACCAAAAACATGGTTTAAGACTGAAATTCTTTTCTTAACTAGTTATACCCAACTCTGATTATAGTTTCCAAATAGCCAGTGATCAAGGTCCTACTTTTGTGTGTTTGCACTGCCGTTACTTTTCCAGTGCTGATTTTTGTGTGCAATTAACCACTTTGCAGTGTGTAAAACTATCACCTATGTCTTTACATTCTATGAATTGCCCTAGCAAGTGTTAACACTAGAAAAGTGTGGTTTGAGAGCTGCACATATATGCAAGTGAAAATTGGCCCATGTATGCTGCAGTCTGAGTTTAGGGCAGAGATTAGGGGCCTATTTTTCAGAAGTGCTAAGCCCCTAAATACCCTGAAAATCACATCATATCATATATATTTGAACTTGGAATTTCCTTGCTTTTGTAAAAGTTTAATTCATATTTTAATTGTAGCCTAAAAGTTGCTAGGGCACTCTGAGAACAGTTATACTATGTAGAATGGATTGTTTGGCAACCAGGTCTGAAACACTGGACTATCTAGTATTGCACTTTAAATCCCAGAAAGGTCAACTCAGTCTTTCTCTGAGTTAAAACTGACTCAGTTTTAGTACCTGGGAATCTTTAGAGAGACACTTTTTTAAAAGCAAATTTCTGTTCTGTATGCTCACTGATGATTCTAGAATGCTCCTTCCAAAGGGAACAGGATTTGATCTTGCTCAAAGTATCCCATTGTTTTCATTGTTGAGCAGCATGTTCTTTGCCAGTTGTTTAAATGACTGTCATCTCTACCCAAGAGGTGGCTGCATTTTTGTGACAGTGTTATATTTGACACTCTAGAAGCAGGTATTTATATAAGTTTTGTAGCGACCATTGTGATTAATTTTGACACTATTCAGTCTTACAAATCTTTTATACTGAGGATCCTGTACCTGTTATTTTACAATAATAAACTAGAAATTAGTACTGCAGCATCTGTGCAGTCATGTTCAGCAGCTCTTATGCTGCTTTGGATGATAGATTAATAGAAGGACAGACTGTATCATTGTAATCTAGTCTGACTTCCTGCCTAACACAGGGCCTGGGACTTCCTGCAGTTAATTGCTGCTTCAAGTCCCAATAGCTGTAGTTGAACTAGAGTATATCTTTTAGAAAAACATCAAGTCTTGGATTTAAAACTTAGGATGGAAAATCATCATAATCCTTTAAATTGTTTCAGTGAGTTTTAAATTTATTTCTAGTCTGATATTTTTGGAGGGAGAGGAGGGTCTGGCTTCAACTTCCAACCATTCAATCTTGTTATAACTTTTGTCTGCTAGATTTAATACCCAAATGTTCTTCGTTGAAGTACATCTAGTCTGATCAAATTACCCCTTATTAAAAAAAAGGGTAATATAAATGGATTGAGTTCCTTAAGTCTCTCTCTATAACAGATACTTACCAATCTTTTAATCAGTCTCAAGGTTTTTCTCTGAACCTTCTCCAATTTTTCAACATCCTTGAAATATACATGCACAAAATGCTTACAGTGTTCCAGGAACAGTCACAGCAGTGTCAAATACAGAGGTAATATGACTTCTCTACTCCTACTCAGTATTTCCATGTTTATAAATTAAGGATTATATTAGCTCCTATTGGCAACAGCATTGCACTGCAAGCTCATGTTCAGCTGATTATCAGCAATGACCCCCAAAATCGTCTTCAGCGTTATTGCTTCTCAGAGTCTCCCATCCTCTGGGCCTGGCCTCCATTTTTTTTTTTTTTTTTTTGTTTCCAGATGTACATCTTTAAATTTAGCCATAATGCAACACTTGCCATAGTAAATATATAAGACCAGTTTACCAAGTAATCCAGATCACTCTTGTCAGTATCTGTCTTCTACATTATTTACTTACTACCCCACTCTTTGTTGTCTTTATATTTTATCAGTAACAATTTTATATTATTCCAGGTAATTGAAAAATGTTTATGAATATAGAGTGAGGAAACAATCCGTGCAAGATCTCACTAGAAACATTCTCAATCATTGATTTCCTGTTTATAGTTTACATTGTGAGACCTATCAGACAGTTTTGAATGCATGTTGATTTTTATATTGTATTAGTTTCTTAATCAAAAAGTCAGATGCCTTATAGAAGTTTATTACATCAGCACTATTCCAGGTTCCACCTCTGAAATCTGGCACAATTTGGTCTGGCTATAAGTGCCT